TCCCGGATCGGCTCTCACCAAAACCAGTCAGGCCTTCTACCTTCCAGAAACGGTGAACTGGTACCGTTCCGTCCGGGAAAATATGAGCACTGATTTGTACAGCGGCTGTCCCCGCAAGTCATTGTATAAGCCACATGGCATTCAGTTAGCCACTAAGATTCTAAATAGAGGTAGAATGCGTGCCGCATTCTTTGAAGGGGCTGTTCGACTGCGAAGACTTTATTCTTTCGTCTTTTTTGAATTCTCTGTCAGTTTTTGGAATGCACAGAGAATTTTCACCCTCATATTGATAAGAAGGTCACACCATAAATCATATTTTACTGTTCGATAAAAAGTTTGTTACTGTTAGAGTTCGTGACTGCTTACGGGAGAGTCTGGGAAATGCTCTGTGCGGTGAACTGGGAAGGTGCGATTCAAATTGTCTTTTTCGTATTTGGGAATATGAAACTTCCCAACCAGCATGAACACGATTCATGCGAATTTTTTTCAAATTTTTTGAAGAAAATTCTACCAGCGTAAGAAAGGTTTTCGGGTGTTGTGTCATGGATTCTCGAAAGGTGTGCGTTGATTGATTTATTACTGACATCGCAACCTTTCGATTACAGCCTGATGCCGCGTTATCACTGTTTACTTTGTGCAGTGGTCCGGAGCACTCTCGTCTTATCTAAAAACAGCATCCCTATCTCTCCGTCATTAAAGCTGTTGCAAAAGCAATATTTCCTTCCCGTAAAGCTTTCGGTGGTAATCAGGAAGGCAATAAAGCTTAAAGAAGAATTACGACATTTATCTCACCTTTTAGGAGTGCGCCACGACTTCGCCATTTTGGTCCGGGAAAAAACGTTTTTTGCCGCCTCTTGCGTGAGTAGGAGGTTTCTCAAAAATCGTACCGATCGTACCAGCCCTCACAAAGGGAGGGGGTCGTACGGACTGGAGCAACCCCCTACGAATGATGTACCCTGCCCTCACCCCTCCCTTCGCCCTCCCCAAGTTGGTCAGAATATAATGTGAACCAATAAGCGTAGCTTTACTCTATTATCCTCGACAGTTCGTCTCATATAATTTATTTCGCAATTAGGTTCAATCTTTCACACGAACTTGACCCATGAACAGAGGGTTGTTATTTTTTGTGAGGATGAACAAAAATGGATGATCAGCTCGGAATTGCACTGGTGGCTGCGATGGAAGTGACAGCGGTATAACAGTGATGACTGTGGCGGCTGCTGCTGTTGTTCCTGCCTCATCCACCTGAAAAAAGTGTTTTTGAACAAAAAGGCAGAAGAGATGGTTACTCTTAAGCGAGGGATATCTATTCACCTCAATGATAGCTCTATGAGCAGCGTTGGAAACTTTAAGAGGGGGACTCTTGGTGATTCCAGTCAAATCAGCGTTGTCACTGAACATCTGCGTCACTCCCATGGCGATTAGGGCTTCTTTGAGTTCGAAATTAGTTTCTATATTCATCTTCGGAATTGTGATCTGCAAGAAATTTTCAAGAGATAAGAAAAGAAGACGTGAAAATCGTAGTAAAAGGCGCAAAGGGCGCAACTAGGAGGCGGAGTAGCAGCTCCAGCATCGTAGGTGGATAATGCACCGTTGCTCCGCCTCCTAACCATGGCTCCCAGTGCCTTCGATTGTTCCCCTGCTTGCACATTCAAAATTATAAATATTTCTTTCAGGATAAGGGAATTTCGAAAGGATTTTGTAGTACCGAAACGTAAGTTCTTCTCAAATTGGAAAGCAGGTTCTGAATCCTTTCTCCTGTGAAGTTCGATCGGAGAGCGTCAAGACCATACCTGAAAGGAAATATCGAACATATCTACTCTGATATGGAGCATATCTACTCTGCTGACTTTTATAAGTTGTATTTAGCATACAAAGTACTAATATATAGTCCACCGAAAAAAGTTCAAACGAGCCAAAAATCGCCATTCTCAGCAATTCCAATGTATCAACTAATTAAAAATCAAAGAAACGGACGAATAATCGGCAGATATTTCTTCAAGAATTTCATGTGCAAAACGAAAATTTCATGATCATATTGAAACAATGGAACAGTACTCCCAGGAGGACCATCCTTTTCCTAACACGAGTTTTTACTGTGTATCGGTGGTCGAGAGGAATGTCCACAGAATTAGTTAAAGGCACAGTTCGCGACCGCAAATCGCGGGAAACGGAACTCAAATTG